AATACAACAAGTGAATAAGAAGGAAACATAAACACCGTTAAAAAAGTTCTTTTTTTACTCCGACGAAAGACTAACGTTCAAAACGACAGTAAATAGTTTTTTCCCAGGTTTTTTCCTTCTTATCACTTACTATAAATAAAGTTGGTCATTATTGTTAACGGTGTTTTTCTTACAGATAGTATCTCGTCGAATTCTGGATTCAATGTGTTCTTTTTCACTTTGGTTTTACGTTTTCCTCCCTTGGTCTTGTCAGGCAACAGGTAGGCCTTCACGTACCTAAAAAATATATTTTCACAAAATTATACTCTTATAAGATTTTTCTGTTTGCTATCATTATTTTTTGCCAATCATCTTTAAATTACTTCTATCTTTCCCATCTCTTACGAACTCCACCCTCCCTCAGCGTCAATGTTCAACGCAAAGAAAAGCCTTCTCTAATCACAGCTATTTCGCAATCCACGGTGGAGTAGTAGTAACGCCACTCCCCTTCAAAAATAGAGAGTTTTAGATTTACGTTCACGGCAAACTTGAAACGTCAGTTTACCAGTAAAAAATTCTTTTAAATTACTGAAAAAGAATCGCAAAAAAGTCCAAGTAGTAGAAAAACAAAAGAGTATTTGCGCTTGGTGAGAAGGTTTGTAAAAGGTAAAGTAAAATACAGGAAAACTATGAAAACGTGGTCACGTTTGCCGTTTGCGGGGAGAAAAAAAAGTCAATCTAAAACTCTCTAATAAGTTTGTATTCACTCACGGGTCTGATCGGTTTTTCTTGGTGTCAACCGGTGCTATGTCTTTCGCGCGGTGAACCTGAACCTCTAACTTGCCAACCCTGTAGTTATACTTGAGTCCAAACTGTACTTCCCCAGTGATTGGGATGTTACCATAGTGACCTTCGCCTGCCTCGCTGTAGTAACTCACGATACTTTCACGACTTCCCTGGAGAGTAAACGAGCAAAATATTAGAATAAAACAATACCTCTATTTAGCGGATACGACGAGCATTCCCGATACTTTTACCTCAGCATCCCTACCGGGCGGATATACACCCTTTATTAATGTGACCCCATACCCATTACCGAAGCTAGATAGAATATACAAGACTATCAGCAAAAAAATACGTCTACGCCTCTTTACCTTGGGCGTAATGTACTCCTATCTCACGCCACGTGTCATTCCCTAAAGTATCATTTCTTCCTTTAAGGTTTGTGCTAGGTTGCACATGAAAAGACACATGAATATGGATACAACTCGAACAAGGAATCGTGTCATTCCCTTGAGTGTCGTTTCTTTGTTTAATGGTTGTGCATGAGAAGACACATGAATATGGATACTACTCAAACGAAGAACTTGTTTAAGAATTGACACGTGGTTTTAAATAAGAAGATATGACGCCTGAGGTAGAGTTCTATATTACAGACCAATTGTCATTCCCTTGAGTATTATTTCTTTCTTTAAAGGTTGCACAAGAAGACACAAAAATATGGCTCAAGTTCAAACAAAGAATCTTATTCTCAAGAGAATGACACGTGGTCTGAAATGGGAAAACATTACACCCAAGGTAGAGGTCTGTTCTAAGATAATTCTTACTTCTTACCATATCAAAACGATCAGACAGACTTCGGTTATTAACATCTACTCCATACTCAGCAAAAGCTTGATCGATATCTTCGACAGGTTCATCGTTTTCATTGTTTTTATATCCAGGTATATTATCATCTACTGCAGTCGTTACTATCTCGGGCGGGACTACTTTTCCCCCACCAGTGTACTGGAATATATTTAAATAAAACATTAACCATTTATACATTACCGGGCGTATTTATTCTGCGCTCGCAAGGGGATCTAGTCTAAAGGGTATTTACCTTTTAAACCAATCCATCTGGTTGAAAATTTCAGTTTGGTAATGGTAAAAAAAGAGCGGGAAAATTTGACTTCCGACAGATGGTACACGCGTCTACCGGAAGAACCGGGAAAGAGCGGGAAAAGTGGATTACCTCAATCGGAAGACCGAGTTTTCTGGAACTTTCCGATCGGATTGACACATACCATTTGTTTTCCAATCGCAATTTCCGGTTTCCAGGTAAATCGTGGAAATCGCTCAAGAGCTCTTTCCGATGCCCCAAAAAAGCCCTATCGAAAAGTCTTTGCGATAAGATGGATCAAAAGCTTTTCCTAACCGAAAACGCGGAAATGAAACCTTTCAAGCCATCTAAAAACTTTCAAAATGGATTGGATCGAAAGGTTGTCCTACGACGCGAAGCGGTGAGAAAATAAACCCTCTTAAACAAGATACTCACAGTTTCTTCTAGAGTGTAACCATCATCTGAAAATGGACAAAAACAAAAAACAAAAACAAAAAACAAAAAACAAAAACAAAAAAACAGAAAAAATTAGGGAATTAGCGATAGAAGTAGATACTCAAACAAACAAAATTACCAAACATTTCCACTTTTTTGATAATATCCAATAAGTTGTTTCTCTCCATTTTCACTTTAATAATTATTGATAAATATTTTCCAAACTAAATTTGTGAAAAGAGACTGAAAAACTGGAGAGCGAGGGAAAAAACTCTCAAATCAAGAAGGTTATTAAGTAACAATGAGGAAAACTAGGCGACAATGGAGCGCGCAAAGAAGTGATTATAACTGGACGTTTTAAAACTTACGAAACATTCAGTGAAACTTTGACCGATATCAAGTAACACTGGAGAAAACTTAGGCGCCAATAAACAGCGCAAAGGATTTGATTACTGTAAGACGTTATAATATTTACGAAAAATTCAGTGAAACTTTGACCGATATTAAGTAAGAATGGGGAAAAACTAGGCGACAATTGGCCACGCAAAGAATGACGAATAAAACATTCAACAACTCACAATGATCCTCGTTTTCTGGGGGTACATGCGCCGTGTCTCGAGCATCAATAAAGTCGGATTCGTTATCACTTGGTAGTGACTGCGTCGGTGTATTGAAGTCTGAATGGGACGTGGTCTCAGAGGGCGTTTGGACCTCTGCCGTTCGAAATGAGTCTACTGATTCTGCGTTTGATTCCGTGCTTAAAGTCCATTCTTTGCTAACACTCAAACTATCCTGTGAATAATGAATAAGATAACAAAATAAGAATATGCTTAACCATAGTTAACCTCTATTAATCATGGCTTAACCAATAGTCCCTTTCACAGTTCAATGCATCATCTTGAAAGTAGCCTTTTCTAACACCTTGGACAATTATTCACATCATTGCAAGCTCACCGTTCGTCTCTCTTCGATGCAAAGGCACGGCTACCTTTCAAGATGGCGCAGGAAACTGTGAAGGGGAATATTGCTGTATTAAGGTGTTTTGTTGCTTGGTACGTTATTAAATATGTGAATTGTGATTCATCAAGCAAATGTTTCTCAGAAAAAAATATCCGAGCTCCGGGTTGGCCTGGAGCTCGCAAATTTCCCCCCGACAAAGAAAGTGCGCTTGTTGAAACACAATTCACACCCTTAATGCCTGTATTATTGCGTCTATTGTTATCGAATTAAGAAAGTGTTTAACAGTATTAAAACTGTATCTTGTCACTGAACAACGACAATAATATTTTTTCCATATTTCAGTTATAAATACAGATTCGCAATTTGCCCCACTTTCACTCCCACACACTACCACTTCATCCAACATTTTATAGGTACAACTTTCTTTCTTTCTTTTCCTTCCTTTTCTTTCCTTTCTTTCTTGCTTTTGTATTATTACCTATTGTCTGCGCGCTTTGGCCTTGCGCGCGTACTTTATTTGTATACGTATATACCTATCCCAAAAAAAAAAAAAAACGTTGTCATCGCCAAAGGCAATAGGCGATAGGTCATTCCAACATGGAAATGGTTTCGTTGAATACAAAGAACATTGAATCAGTCTCAACGCTAAGGTCCAAGTCCTTAACGATAGTAAGAAGAAGAAACACAAGTCATTCCTGCTATTCTTGGATCTTGAAACGACCTATCACCTATTGCTCATGGCCTATCGTCTATTGCCTATCACCTTAGGCGATGACGTTTTTTGAAATAGGTGGCGTTAAACGTCGCTCCAAACATTGTACCCTGATGAAGGGCGCTTAGCCTGAAAGCCCGGTTATTACATTCATAATTTTAGGGCTGTTGAAGCAGTTCATCTATAATAACTTTTAGTCCTTTCGAAAGTTATCTATTTAAAAGTTGTGCTGCTTGGAAAAATGCTTTATTAATTTTTTCTTTACATTGAAGAAATAAGGACCATACCTCCAGACCTAAAGCTGAAGCGCAGTATGGCAGCGCGAAGCATTTACGGCTATGCCGGAGATTTCGGCCCCGACACCGCTATCCATTCACTGATCAGGAAGCTCGGCCGAAGCCTAAGGGAGAGGTTAGTCGGCCCCTAGTCCGTAGATGATTAACCCCTTGCTATGACCAGCGAATTTGTACAAGTTCCTGAGAAACGGAGGTCTCTACGTTGTCATTACGCCATGTGGGATGAATTTTGAACACTTTAACTTCAGTTTGACATGCGCACAAGTAACATGGACCGTAAACTATTACATGTATGACCAGCGCGTCTGTTTCTCGCACGCGCACGCGCAGATGATAATAATAGAGAACTTTGGCACGACGTTCTTTCTAAGTACAGCAAACATCAATTAAACAGCAGTTCGACGTCAGGCGTTTTCCGTCAAACTTTCTACATTTAGGAAGTTGTTGCTGGAAGAGCCGCCATATTGAATTTCATTGATGCTTTTTCTGCGTGTACAGGTTTCAGACGTGTGTCTGGGCCTGATCCCTAGCAGTTTATAGCGGTAAACCCGATCTAAAGGTCATTATTGTATTATTTCCGCTTGTCTTTGCGTTTTTAACTGTTCTAGTGTGAACGAGACAATACGCTATAAAGTGACGCTACCGTGAGACGAAAACGGAGAGTTTCGAAAACGCATAAGTATGGACAAGGCTTAAGACGCTTCGTCAAAGAGGCCGCATTTTTTAACGTCTATTGATTTGTAACAAACCAACAAACAGTCAGACAGTTAGGCAGACAGATAGTTATACAGGTAGAAAGACATGCATACAGACAGACAGACAGACAGTACCTGTGAATAAGCCGTCGAACCTCTTTGTGGTGGCGAATACTCATCTTTCATTCCTGGTAACGGATAATGATCCCGACTACCACTATTATAATGGTATCCCTGACCCGACCCCTGACTTGCTATTGATTTATATTCGTCGGAATCATCTAAGCTTTTCTCATCACCATCTCCATCATGTTGCCCTTGGTTATTCTGTTCTTTCTGAGGAGAATGTTCGTCTTCGTTGAGGTAATCAAAAACGGGTTTTTCTTCTTCTTCGTCGTCGTCATAGTAATCGTCCTCCGCTTTTTCTCGCTCGTTTTGGAACGAATCGTTATGTATCGTGTCGCTTCCTAAATAGCAAAATAGAAGATTTAGCAAAATCAGTAAATGGATTTCCTAAGTCTAAAGATTTAGTGAGTGAGTGAGAAAACCAGATGTGCTGTAGTGGCATAAACCCTATATGTAAACATGTATAGTAGTATCTGGCAGAAGGAAAGGAAAAAGAGAAAGAAAGAGAGGAAGGAGGGAAGAAAGGATGGAAGGAAAAGGAAAAGAAGGAATTGGAAAAGAAACTCTCATTAAGAAACATAAAACGCGCAAGCGTGCTGTGTGCAGTTGTATTCAAAGGTCGTGAAAATTGGCAGAGCATGAGAGATGTGTTAGGGGAAGCACGAAAGTCCACAAATGCTTCATGGTCCTTTATGACTGCACACAACAAAGCAAGCAAGTTTTTTTATTTCTTTCATAAAGTACAAATTAGAGAAGTCCTTTATTTCTGATACGAATGACAAAATAGAAAGTGCACGGGCGTGCTCTAAATTCATAATGTTAATTTTTACACTTAGGTTGCGTTCATAATGTATGGCAGAGGGGGGGGGGGCAGGTGAAAGTGAGGGGCGATCAGGAAAATTTTGGTAGGAAAAAGGGGGGGATGGGCAAATTTTTATCAGAAAAATGGGGGGGATGCACAATTGTTGGAAGAATCTACAAGCCTTGCTTTGGGGGATTGTATTTTTTTGCATGACTTTAAGGGGGGGTGTTAAGAATTATTCTGGATATTTCAAATTTTCACTTGCCCTCCCCCCCCACCCCCCCCTCACCCTGCCATACATTATGAACGCAGCCTTAAGACTTAAAAATAATATAGCTTGCTACAATACAACATTAAAACTCACAAACCTTTAGAAGTTTCGTGGACATACGTTGGGGTCGAAGATCCAGAAGATGTTTCTGCAGGGCTCTCATCTTTATGGCTATCCCTTTTAACAGGCACAGCCTTCGCATATGGTTTGATGTAGTTCTTGTTTACTTCATGAGTCTCGTTGTCATCGGCTGATTCTGCTGTATGGTACGAGGAGTCATTAGCTTCAGTTTCACGAATGGCTGACATGTGGACTGGGATTGGTCGATGAAGTTTCTCATGGCTTTCTGGGTTTAAGCCAATCACGGGCGGTGCTGGGGGCTCATCTGAAATCAGCAGTACATACACCCTTAATCATAGCACCTCACTGATTACAGACATGAGAATATATCTCAAATCTTTTTTGCTTGGGAATAATGCTTTCTCATTTTGGGCCATAAAATGAGAATAATATTCTCATTCTCATAAGATTTATCTTGAGAATAAGATTCTCAGTTTTAACAACTACTAAACAAAGAATTTATACTCTAGGGAATGACATGAGGTCCGAAATGGGAAAACATTATGCCCAAGCTAGAAAGTTATTTTTCTAAATTCATTCAAAAAATTTTCTTGTAAAACTTTCTCATGCTTAACATTATAAAAATTAAAATCCTCTCCCCTCATCATAGACTGAGAAATAGCAACATAAAACATAGGACATTAGCATTTTGGAGTCCAATGTTGTGCAAGGTTTATGGTTGTGCTGTTCCGCATTTAACAAATTGACATCAGTTTTTTATGTGTCTGTAAGCTTATTGACAATAAATTGCGACATCACATTGTCAAAGTAGTGTGGATGTGGCCGATTTGTTTTTTACATTAACAAAAACGATAAAAACTTCTAATTTTTAGTGATCAAAACAACCAACGGAAAGAGCATACACTCAGCTTTATCTGTCTGTCCTCTTATTGATGACAAAAAATAACCGATTGATCAGCTTGTGAGAAATTTGTAAGTTATTGTAAAATAATTAATTCTTACTTCAATTGATTCACCACAATAATACATTAAAAGGTAAAAAATTGAAACGATTATCAGAGACAAAATATATATATTTAAAAAAAATGACTGGGTAAAATCAGAACTTATGTCCCACTTAAATTGATATTTTCCCACTGAGAAAATGAGCCATTTGGCAGAATAAACTTGGGATATTTGTTTCATAAATATATCACCCTTGACACTCATCAATATTTTTAGACTTGGCAACTATTGGGGCCATATAGATAAGTTTAATCAAGTTTAGAGTCATTTCCAGTTTTTATCCGTTCTCATTCAAGTGCCCCTTAGATTTGATTTTATTCAAGTCAGGATTGCAAGATCAAGAAACAACAAAACTAGTGTGTTGCTAATGTCAAAAAAACCTAATTTAAGGCAGTTAAAATTAATTCATTAGCATGGCATTGGGTTGTTTGGTAACGTTCAGTGAGTCATAATTAGATATAGGAATCAATAATAAATTAAAATAAATTTTTTAGTAAGTTTTGACCACAAAACCATGAATTAACACTGGTTTCCTATTTTACCTCTCAAACCTCCATTAGATTAAATTGTTTCCTCGATTCCCAGGAGATTCAAGTTTCAGAATTAATATAAAGAGGTCTCATTTACTAGGGCTAGGGAAAAACTGTGCCTTGGGTATTTAATATATTGGGCAGAGGACATGGTACACTAGGCTGAGGTCTGTTTTCAAGGTCAAAAGCACAGTTAAGTGTTTTTCTCAATCTGGACTGGCTTTAAGCATGGTAGAATAACTTTTTTTCCAATTTACTTTTCCAAATGTCATCGTTCACAATTTATTTTATTGTTCAGCAATCTGTTATTCCATGCGTACATGTGGATAGCCTAAAAGCCAGGATACTGGACTGCAGTCAAAGATAGAAAATACTGCTTCTTTGCACTTGCCCATTCAGAGTGCTTCACATCAGGCATTGCAGTATTTTCTCAATACATGCCTTAACTAGGTATTTTCAATGATGTGGGATAAAGCAGACATGATATTCACTTATGACATGTCATGGAATGTCCCACTTGTCACTCTTATTTTCTTAACAAATGGACTTGGTCTAAAGGCTAGAAGTATATATATAGGCCAAAAAAAAGTGTGTTTCCTGTTGTGGACCGACCCTAATTTTCTTGCCGATTTTTGCCGACCCTAATATTTTTTTCATTCCCAAATGCACCACAGGGCTCCCAGTAAGCTCATTTCCACTGTTGTATTAGTAAAAGAAAAATCCGACCTACCGAACCCAATTCTTTTTCTCATGCAACAGGAAACACACTTATTTTTTGTTTAGTCTAATTAAATATCTAGAAACAGCTTCTCATTAATCCCATATAGGTAACTGTCCAATTATTTTCTTAATTGGACAGGTCTTGTTTATATGGGATTAATTAGGCAGCTATATAATTAATAGGTAATGGGATTTCATGCTCCCCATGCAATCAAGAAATAATTAGACTCGAAAAATTCCTCTGACTGCCAAATTGGACTCGGCCTACGGCCTTATCCAATTTTGTCAGTCCTCGGAATTTTCCTCGTCCAATTATTTCTTAATTGGACAGCATGGAGTCCTATTACACATACTAATCTTTATTGAGTGTGAATATTGAATGGGTAGAACTGTGGTGAAATAATGATAGATGTGTTGATCATCACAGTGAATGAGCGATCTAAGTGAACACTGTAAAGAAAGACTTGAAAAAATGATTTCAAGCTTAAACAGGAATCGAACCCATGACCTCTGCGATGCCGGTGCGATGCTCTACCAACTGAGCTATGAAGCCAATCCTGTTGGCGAGCGGTCATTTTTGTTGGGTTCATCTTTATTGAGTAAACTACTTTATCTTTTGATGATTTTCAAAAAGGACTTTTAATCTTATTTGTGAAAAGGGGAAGAAGGGAATAGTAATAACCCCCCCCCCCCTCACCACCCCTACCATATGGTGCTGATCTACCACCCAATAAAAGCATTGTATAAGGAAGTATATTAGAAATTTAGATTGCTTACCTGCAATGCCGTCTTTACTCTTAGTCGAGGCTTTTCCTCTCTTCAAAGAGGCTCTAATCAATGATGTACCAAATAGTGTCCGTGCCTCACCCTTTGTCCTTGCCTGTTCGTAAAACCATGCTCCAGACTTAGCTTTCACATCCCTGAATTATGGGGAAAAAGCCAAAGGATTTAATAGAACATAGAAATAAAGTCTCAAGCTTTACCATCGCAACGTCATTTTTTTTAGTGCTTTCACCACTTCTTTATTTATAAGTGCTGAAAATATTAAAATTTCTTTAAGCAAAATAATAATGCTATAAAATGTCATATAACGATTTTGTCACTATAAATGTGTATCGTGCATGGCTGAACATTAATACAAGAGAGAGAGATCAAGTTGGTTCAAATTCCTAGTCTATAATATCACAATGTGAAGATATTCATTGTTATTTTAAAACTTTTTGATAAATAATCATTCAATTATTTAAGATATTTGAAAATTGTTCTTGCACAGGCAAGTAAAAATGTATGCCTTTATGACTGCATTTATTACGTAATTATATATATATATGATTAATTCAAATTAATATAATTCCAAATGCAGGAATGGAAAATTAAGCAGTATTAAGCTTTGTGCCAATTTAAAACTTTTGACATATCATGTTATTATGTCATTAAAAACATAACTAAAAACTTATTTTATTGAAGAATTTTGCTCTCATGATTAAACTAGAATGTTTGTACAATTTAATTATAGGTATTTATAACTCGCTCATTAATTATTAATTAAATATTGATTGAACTTTTAAACAGTCTTGTTTACTTGGTCTAGAAGTTAGAATTAAGATTATAATTATTATTGCTGAGTAAGTAAAAGAAATGAAAACTTTTAGGCAATATATTGAATATAATAATTGAGATAAAAAAGACATTTATGTTCTGGTCTAAAGTTTAAAATGTTTTCGTGATAACCTAATGTTCTGTCTAATGTCGTCACAATAAAATGAATTTTTTTTTCACAAAACATTGCAAAAACTCTAATACTCACCTGACTTTCCCACACAAAGTACACAACCATGAATCCTTCAGAGGAGTTCGACAATTTTTACAAACTCTAGCCTTACATTTTGGGCAAAAAGCACCAGTGTTGAACAGCACTCCAAAACTTTCATGACACCTTGCACAAACTTTAGCTGTTGAATCCGAAGTATCTGATATAGCTCCAGACTTTTTTACACCGTCTAACTCTTTCTTTAATTCGCTGAAATAAATAAGATAATCATTAGGTGGCTTGAATTTAAGAAAGGAAGGTTTGAGAAGTGTTGTTTTTGAAACACGGGTGGTCCAAACAAACGCCAAACATAAATGTTGAGCACTTAATCTTTGGCTGTATAAAATGTAAGCTCTAAATTTTTAATAAAACTTATATACATATTTTCTTACATACCTTAGTCTCTTTTTTTCCTGTTTTCTGAACACTTCATCTCGAGCTAAAACATCTTGCAAAGCATCTCTCTCAGACTCAGTCAGAAAATTTAGATTAATATAAATATCGTCCATGTTGGAAGTGGTTCATACTCAAGTGCATGGCATGTTCACAATCAAAAGAGCAGTCAATTCTTCAGAAAATTTTACTTAAACCTGGCCGTCTAAACAAGTTAGTCTACCGTTAATAATTCATCATTTCCCTCTACTTGGTTTTGAATCACCGTTAATTATATTTTATTCCTCTGGCAGTCTACTAATGAATACAAGAACTACACTCCCCAAACGTTCCTCATAAGAAACGATTCTATATAAAAAGGTTTCTATTGTTTTAAAGCCAATCACAGCAGGAGACGTCACAAATAGCTGAACGGCCCCACTGTCGTGAATAATAAATATTTAGTGTCCAAAATTTTAGATTTCAACTATCTTTGTTTAAAAATTAAAATGATCATGCAGATGGTGAAATGATTTGTCTTTGTTTGATGACTGTAAAAGTTTTTTGGTCAACCATAAAAAAATGTAAATATGCCAATCAATTTTTAACAACATGATTAAATGAACTGAAAATTATAGTAAAAAGGAATGTTTAGCTTTTCTTGAATAAAAAATAAAGGAATAACTAAAGGTGGAAAAAAAAAACCGAAAAAAACTCGGAATCGTGAAAAAAGTGTGGATTAATATTACCGCGCAACTGAAAGGGATTCCCGCGGGACACCCGCTCATCTTAACCCTGGGTCATGCAGACCCTCTGTCGGCAGCCATCTTGAATTCAGCTGATGCTCGTCTTAGTTTGCATAATATTTCTACATATTTAACTATGTTATCTAGAGGAATACGAGGATTTAGACTGTCAGCACTGCTCTCTAAACATGTGAGTATCCTTATTCGTTTATTTTGCCTTTAAAAAGTGCAGAATAGTGAATTTAAATCTACTAATTGTAAAAACAACATTCAAGACAATGGTTGTTGTCAATTGTATTGAAAATTCAATAGACATCTCGAGATTTGTACAGTATTTCTGTTTTATCGTACCTCTAATTGAAAATCAATATAATTTTTAAGAAGATCTAATCATCCTTTAATTTTCATAGTCAATTCAGGGTTCAAGGTTTTGACATAAAAGTTGTGCGCTTTAGATTTCAAATCAGTTAATTGAACAGCAGCCAATAAACTTTGATAGCATCCAGAACTAATAATTGCAACCTTCCTCATGATTTGCATTTAATGCTACTGCAAATGGTGAATGGGAGTTATGTATATAAATGCATTATCTTTGCAACTTTGCATTTTCATAATATACAGTATATCATGCTTCATTAAGACACTTTATTCTATATTTTCACTGTAACATTTTACCGATTTGTATGCAATGCAAGATGCATTTCACAAGGGGGCAATCTGTGAACTGTGCAATCGATCCTTAAGGCTGTATGTATTGCACAACCCATCAGGAAGCAAGAATTAATTGACATCTGTGGTAATTGTAATGTCATAATATTGTACTACCTTTATAGAGTGCAAACAATATAACCGTGAAACTTTAGTAATACTAAATAGCACAGTTTCATGCAAATTCCATTGTTTTCTATTGTTTAATTAGCACTATTTTGTACTATTTAGTAATTAGTGTTTCACAGATTTATTGTTTGCACTCTATTGCAAAAAAATTGCTTTAAAAATAGGTTAGGCCTGATGATTGTAATATTAAACTTTTTTTTTACAAACTTAATATATATTTTTTTGTCATAGGCGACGGCAGCTTTGCTCACAAAGCAAAGGGGTTATGCTGGAAAAGTTAATGAAGCTGAGTTTGAATTAAGAGTGAGTTAAAATTTGTTAGAAAAATTCTAGCCATCAGGAAATGATTTAAAGCCAGGAAGAAGATTGTAACAAAGGTTTCATATTATTATTGTGATGAAGACAACTCAATAATTATGATGTGGTTGTGATTATTGATTATGATAGTGGTGAGGTGGTGATGATTCTGATGAAGATGATGATGGTGATGGTGAAGGTAATGATTATGATGACAGTAGTGGTGAATATGATGGTGGTAGTGGTAGTGTTGATGAGGATGGTCATAATAATGATGACAATGATCAGATGATGATGACGATGGTGAAGATGATAACTAGTAGTGTTGATAATGATTTCAAAATGAATATTGAATGTTTGATCGCTATCTATCCTTCATTCTACTATTCATTTGGTAATTCATCCCAGGATTTTAAGCTTCATCACCTGGATGAGGGCCCTCCAAAGAAGGCAGTAATGACAAGGGATGAGGGTTTACTCTACTACAAGCAGATGCAAACCATCAGGCGTATGGAGACTGCCGCTAGTAATCTGTATAAATCCAAAGACATCAGGGGTTTCTGTCATCTGTATTCTGGTCAAGTAAGTCCCAATTTTTAAATGCCTTGAAGTTTTGAAGGTTACCAAAACACGAATTTAAGCATTACGTAAAAAAGTGTATGCAACAGTAACTCGAAGTTTGCATTTTGTTTGAATACATAATATGGATATGTAAATATTTTGTAATTAATTTCCAGGAGGCATGTTGTGTTGGTATGGAGAATGCAATAGACAAGGATGACAGTGTTATTACAGCCTACAGATGTCACGGATGGAGCTTCATGCGAGGAGTGTCACCTAAAGGCGTGCTCTGTGAATTAACAGGTATGATACATTTTACAAACTATTCTGGGATATTATCCCCTACCCCTTTGAACCAAGCAGGTATTTGAAAATTATCCCACAAAATGGAAACTTTTAATTTGCCTTCTTGCTTCTGGGGAGTCAGGATGGCATGGTGGTGAAACACTAACCTCTGAGGTCCAGGGTTTGAATCCCAGTCACCCTATTTGAGCTGAGTATGTTGGTTCTCTTTCTGACTCCAAGGGTTTTTGCGGCTATCCTGTTTTTCCTCCCTCCTCTGAAATCAACCTTGACTAATTCAAACTGGTTAGATCTGTGCTCTGGGGTCATACATGAACTGTATAGTGGCTGACAGAGGCACCTTAACATGCTTTCGTTTGACCCCGTTGAGTTGCGCCACTGCTGTGCTTGCGGTGGTGGTTAGCGATGACCAGTTTTTTTGCTTTTATTAAGATGGTGGTAGACTATTATCTTTTAATATACCTTTCCTGAATTTGCTTGAGGGAACATAAAACTATGGCTCCAATTGTTCGAAAAGACATACAGTATAAATTGTGATAACAGCATCAGTACTGGGATAGTGCTGTTTGCTAGGCCATCTCGGTAAAAAGAAATCTGATGGTGTTGTTGTTGTAATCTGTATCATAATGAGTGTGGTTCTGTTTTCAGGTCGTAAGACAGGTTGCACAGAAGGCAAGGGAGGCTCTATGCACATGTATGGTCATGAATATTATGGAGGCAATGGTATTGTTGGTGCACAGGTAAATAATTTGCCAGTTATACCATGAAGAATAAATGGAAAATATATAAATACATGTATACCTCACTCGTTGGTGGAGAAATGAATTTCCAAGGGTTGGGGAGGGTCTGAGGAGGGTATATTCTATAGTACCATGAAATATCCATACCTCCCACACAGAGGGGGATTGGAATTTCCAAGGGTTGGGGAAGGTCTGAGGAAGGTATATTATGTAGTACCATAAAATATCCATACCTTAGGATTTCCAAGGATAAGGGTGGGCCTCATAAAGGATTTAGAATTTCTAACAAATGTGGAAGGATTGATAAGGGTATTGCTACATGTATGGCCATGGAAAATATCCATGTATGGATACAGTAGCTCAAGGATACAGGTCACTGTACAGTACATGTACTGTAATATCATTCTGTCATTCTCTCTGAGTTGAGGAACTGTATAGACATCTTCCAGGGTAATCGATATTATTTATGATAGATATTTTTTCCTTAGGTTCCTCTTGGGGCTGGGGTTGCTCTGTCTCATCAATACAAGGGAAATGGAAAGATATGTTTGACCCTTTATGGTGATGGTGCTGCAAACCAAGGACAGGTACTGAAAATTGCCTTCAGAATTGAAAATCATGAATGCCATCTTTATAACATCATAATAGTCCCTCTCACAGTTCCCTGCCGTGCCTTTGCATCGACATGAGACCAATATTGTGAGCTTGCAATGATATGTAGAGATGTGAATACCGCCAACTCTCGTTACAGCGGACACCCTCACCCTCACCAGTGGGACCGTCACTACATGTCTGTGATAGCGAGCATCCGCAATAGTGAAAATTATTTAAGATCATTTCTTTGTCAGTATTTTTGTCGGAGAATTTTCTCCAGTCCCTAATAGCAAGGTGTCCATAATATCCAGGTTGTCCGCAAGGCGAGAGTTGACTGTAATTAATTGTTAAGAGGTGTTTAAAAAGTTCTCTCTCATTCCAAGCTCACCATTCATCTGGCTTCTATGCAAAGGCATGGCTACCTTTCAGGATGGCGCAGGGAACAGTGTAAGGTTCTATTAGCCATTCTCAGATTGAGGGATTTAAAACTGGGTAGAGTTGGTATTGTAGTGCATTTTGGGGCTGCTTTAGGGGACAAATTTCCAAAATTGCATGTACTAATTTTCATAGCTGCAAATCGACTACTAAATCCCAGTTTCCTTCCATTTTGTTTCATTCTATTGTACTTTCTTTCATTGCATTTGACAATAAAGTATTTTGTCCTCCATTAATAATAATTATTCGTTACTCAGTTTTTGATATTCTGTGAACTTGGTTGTTACGAGCTGCAGGCTGAAATTTTGTTTTTTGCTGCAGTCAATCAAAAATAATAAGTTGGTACCTTTTATGTCCTTGACTGTTGGCAGTAAAAAAACAATTTCACAACAAGCAGTTCTGAGTTCACAGAATATTGAATACTACAGTAAAATAACTTATTATAATCCTGTTATTTTTCAGTTGTTTGAGACCTATAACATGGCTCAGCTGTGGAAGTTGCCTTGTGTTTTTGTCTGTGAGAATAATGGATATGGAATGGGTACGGCTGTGGAAAGAGCAGCCGCTACTACAGACTACTATAAGAGGGGGGATTTCATTCCTGGCCTTTGGGTAAGAAATTAGATATTTTCCTCTATTTCCACTTCTTCTCTCCCTGCCTTCCCTATTTATCCAACCATCTATCTGGATACAAATCCATCTATTTAGTGCCTACTTCCTTTCCTCACGCATCTGCCCATCCATCAAATCCATCTATTCACCTGTTCCATCTCTCCATCCATCCATCCACCTGTCCAACTGCTTGCCTCTCCTTCTCCTGTCCATCTGTTCATCCATTACTCCCGACTGACGTCCCTCACCCATCTACCCATCCATCACATCCATATATCACCCCTTCCATCCACCCACCCATTCTTCCATTCTTCCATTACATCCATCCATTACCTTTCTACCTCTTTAACCTTCCATCCATCCATCCACCCTTACATCTATACATTTAAATCATTTATTCATTCATCCTATTTCCATCTAGCCATCATTCATTCATTTTTGTAGTGAATTTTTTGCTTCAAGTCCATCACCTTCAGCTTTTGATTGCAATCTCTATGAGATCTGTTCCAGAATATTGTTAACTGTTCTACTACATCAAAAATAGATCACATTATCAAATCTTTTTGCTTCCAGGTTGATGGCATGGACCTCTTGACTGTTAGGGAAGCGACAAAGTTTGCTGCAAATTGGGTCAGATCTGGAAAGGTAATAAACATTGTTCAAAATCATCTTGCATTCAAGACTAACAGGAAAATATGAAAGAAATGGCACAATTCGAAACTCCACAAATTCCTTTAAGGAAAAGTGTGGTTTCTTTAGTATTTTCATGTTAGCCTTGTTTTCAGAATACAGTAGTATTAACAGGGTTTTCAATACCAGTTTGAGTAAGTGGCAAAACGCAATGAATAGACAGGAAGCAGTGGGAAAATCTTTCTTTCGTTTTTCCTTAATTTTGGGAAACTTTAATCAAAATGGGCAGAGAGTTGATGTAAAATACTTGGCAAGATTCACAGGTTGTGGTTTTCTATTGAAAACACTGATTAAAAGTGATGATAAAAGAGTAAATTTTACACCGTGAAAAGATGAAACAACTTTCTGACGTTTCGGACGCTAGTCCTTCGTCAGAGTAAATGTTTTTACATCTTTTCACAGTGTATAATTTACCTTTTTATCATTACTGTTTCATTAGAAACCCCGACGCAGCTCACACTAGTTTTTAGCTAGTTTTCTCTTCTGATTAAGAGTGGTGTATTATCTCTTGGTTGTAGGGACCATTTCTATTGGAGATGAGCACCTACCGTTACTATGGACACAGTATGAGTGACCCTGGAACCAGGTATGTACTAGCCTACCAACAGCTGACGAGAATGTCTCATTCCCTTGATAATGGTTTCTTTGTTTAATAATGGATCTCAAGAAGAAAAGTAATGTGATTGAGACTCAAAATGTTATTCCCATGTCCAAGCCATTTGATTTACAATCAAGTCTCCAGACCTTGTGTCATTCCCTTGAGTATAGTTTTTTCCTTTAACCCTTGAGACCTGAACAAATCTTATTCTTGTGATGTATGTGGGTTGCAATCTCCAGACCATGTCATTCCCTTGAGTATTATTTCCTTGTTTAAACTGATGACACCTGAGAAGAACAATAAATGGATGAGATTAAAAATCTTATTGTAGGTTGCAATAAAGTCGCATAATGCCTAATAAAGTGTATCATTTGAAACTTTATAAAAATATCTAAGGGGCTGTTTATATGGAGGCGAGCCAGCCCAGTAAGCGGGCTAGCCCGCTTTGCCGAGATCTTGGCTCGGCCTCTTTTCGTTGTAAAAAATGCTTTGTGTTTATATGGGGAGATGGGCTGGCCCGCTTACCGAGATCTTGGTTGGGCGGTGCCGAGATCTCGGCAAGCAGGATGGAAAAATTCCCATATAAATGAGCCAGCCCGGTAAGCGGGCTGGATTTGATCCTACTGCACATGCCGCCATGTTTTCTATTTTTATTTTCGCGGGATGAGTTCGTATGCTAACGAGGCTGGATGATCACATGACTGATTTCATCCCGGTAAGCGGGCTGAATTTTCCAATATAAACGCAATCCAAAATTCATCTCGGCCAAGCGGGCTAGCCCGCTTACCGGGCTGGCTCGCTCCATATAAACAGCCCCTAAGAGAAAGAATCTTGAACCTACTATCTCCAGTACTTGTATTGTGAGGCTAAAGCTTTTTCCTGCTTAGGATAGACTGTATTGTTTTCATATACTAACTTTTTCTTTGGCTTCATCAGCTACCGCTCACGTGATGAGATCCAAACTATCCGTAAAACCAGGGATCCCATAACAGGGTTGAGAGAGACTCTGCTGGACTCAGGGCTGGCTGATGTTGATGATATCAAGGTAGGTTACTGAGGAATAGATTAATATTCTAATAACCTGTCATGTTGTGCTATGCACTCAGTATGATTGTCATACTCATCACCATCATCGCCGTTATGACCATCATCATCATCACCATCATCATCACCACCATCATCACCACCATCTTCTTCTATCATCATCAGCATCATGACCATCATCATCATGACCATCATCATGACCACCATCATGACCACCATCATCACCACCATCTTCTTCTATCATCATCAGCATCATGACCATCATGACCATCATCATCACCACCATCTTCTATCATCATCAGCATCACCACCATCTTCTTCTATCATCATCAGCATCATGACCATCAGCATCATGACCATCATGACCATCATCATGACCATCATCATGACCACCTTCTATCATCATCATCAGCAGCATCATGACCATCATGACCATCATCATGACCATCATCATGACCACCATCATGACCACCATCATCACCACCATCTTCTTCTATCATCATGACCATCATCATGACCACCATCATGACCACCATCATGACCACCATCTTCTTCTATCATCATCAGCATCATGACCATCAGCATCATGACCATCATGACCATCATCATGACCACCTTCTTCTATCATCATCAACATCATGACCATCATGACCATCATCATCACCACCATCTTCTATCATCATCAGCATCATGACCATCATCATCATGACCATCAAGACCATCATCATCACCACCATCTTCTTCTATCATCATCAGCATCATGACTATTGTCACCACCCACCAAAATCATCATCTATCATTATCGTCATCATCATCACCATCATCACCATCATTGCTTTCACCATCATCACCACCACCTTTTTATCATCCCCTATCAACACCACCACCATCACCACCACCACCCCCATCATCATTACTATCATCTCTCCCACTATCATGTCCATCAGCATTAGCAACCTTCCACTCCTGCCATCTTCACCATCTCATCATCTTCACCATCTGTACCTTCAGCACCATTGCATCAAAATTATCACTTCCACCACCACTACGGCAACTGAGAGGAACACTGCACCAACAGTGTATTCCACCTTTATTCCTATGGCTTCATAAGTCCCCAGTGTGACAACTTGTCTTTTCACATGTATTTATTCATTCATTACTTTGTTTCATCCCAGAAAATTGAGGAGGAAGCCAAAGCACATATTGAAGAGTGTGTCATAGCAGCCAAGAACGACCCAGAACCGCCACTTGATGACTTATTCTTGGACGTGTATGCTGGTGAAACCATGAAGGATGAAAAGATTAGAGGCTGTGAATACTTCTCATGGCATGCTACCAACTAATTCCTACCAAGACCTCTATCCCTTTCCTTTATTCCTTCACTTTTTCCCATGATATTTTGAGTTACCTCTTGCACTATTTTCATGTCGATCAAAAGTATTTTAAAACTCTTTTGAGCCTGTAAGAAAAGACATGGAAAGCAGGTTGGATGAGTAGCATTAAGCTTAAGGTTAGGAAGGGTAGGGTGGATGGGGATAAAATTTATAATATTTAAAAGAAGGAGGTGAGGTATTCGTGTGTTAGATGATGTCTAGAATAATTTGAGGATGATCAAAAATAGCTTATGTCTTGTACACTGAAGGAAATCATATTGCTTCCTGGTCTATCTTGGGTAGAGTGTCTGTCTATCATACCCTAGAGTATTTTTACCCAAGCTAGACCAGAATGCACCTTGCTTTATATTTCTTAAAATATCCAGTGTTGTTGAACCTAGCTTGCATAAGTACAGTTGTATTCGTACCCAAGCTAGGCCAGAATGCACCTTGCTTTATATTCCCTAAAATATCCAGTGTTGTCGAACCCAGCTTGCGTAAGTATTTGTACCCAAGCTAGACCAGAATGCACCTTGCTTTATATTTCTTAAAATATCCATAGTGTTGTCAAACCTAGCTTGCGTAAGTATTTATACCCATGCTAGACCAGAATGCACCTTGTTTTCTAGAACAGAATGCACCTTGCAACATTTTCTAAAATACCCATAGTGTTCTAATCTAGGCTTGTGTAAGGGTGATTGTCTATCATACGTATAGTATTTGTACCCAAGTTAGACCAGAATGCACCATGTTTTTCTTTTCCTGATATAATCATAGTGGTTTATTCCTGGTCTAGATTGGGTATGCTATCTTTATGCAAGCTTATTTAAATAAATATGAGTTTCAAGATAAAAGATGGTAAAAATATAATAAAACCACTTCAATTTTGCAGATATTTAAGATAAGTAAGTAGCAGTTATAAGCACAGGAATACTAAGTTTATACATGATATATGTTGACCTAATTTTGATAGAATTTTCAAATTCTAAATGTCATATGTATCGGGGAGAAAAGAGGCAAGTAAATGTTAAGTTCTGCTAAAGCATGACATTTCATGCCTACACTTCCAGAATCCCTTTCACTAGCTTTTTTTGTTATTCTAATGTACACCATTGTCTTGGTATTCTCAAAGGAATCTTAACATTTGAATACTAATAGATATTTTGAAAAGTATTGTGGTAGTTTAGGAATGAATCGTCATTAGAGCTGGTAAAGGCATTTAACCCGTGAAATAAAATTATTAGAGTGATTTTCATATGATCGTGAAAGAATAGGCAAACTAATAGTTAGTAGTAGACTCTAAACCAATGATTTTCTTTTGTTCTTTATCAACTATTACAAACTAAATGGTCTATTTTCTTTCACGGTCATGTGAAAATCATTCTAGTCAACGTGTAATAGTCAAATAGACACGCACAAAAAAAGAAAAAAAAAAAAAAAATTATGCTCTACTAATGTGTGTGAGTCTAATATCTATTTCACGGGTTTATTGACTTCACTCTAAGGTTAAGGTCTATTTAATGTATACGTACTATACAAGGTGAACAAAGAGATAGGGTCTATGTGTCGGAGAGAATGAGATCTTCTATTTTCTATCGTAATTTGTGAATAATGCACTTAACAGGCTTGTAGTAGATTCGATCATCTTTAGATATCTGAAAAAGATAAAACCTTAGAACTATCACATTGAAAATGAATTAAAGAATTTAAGTTTTTAAAATCAGTTTTACAGTTGTGAGAAACCGTTGGTGGCGCATATTACTATCTCTGTTTTAACGATGATCGACCAAAAGGAAAACTAAAAAAATTCAAGGCACTCCCACTAGTCAAGCATGTGTGAGGAATCACTGGATTTCCAGTGTAATAGCCGACCTCTACTCCTGACTTAGATCAGTTCAGAGGTTGTTTCAGTGATCTATTAGCCGTGCCCTGACTTAGATCAGCCCAGAGGTTGTTTCAGGGTTTGATCTGTGAGTTAGCCATGCCCTGACTTAGATCTGCCTAGAGGCTGCTTCAGGGTTTGATCTGTGAGTTATCCGTGCCCTGACTTAGATCAGCCCAGAGGTTGTTTCAGGGTTCGATCTGTGAGTTAGCTATGCCCTGACATAGATCAGCCCAGAGGTTGTTTCGGGGTTCTATCTGTGAGTTAGCCGAGCCCTGACTTAGATCAACCCAGAGGTTGTTTCAGGGTTCAATCTGTGAGTTAGCCATGCCCTGACATAGATCAGCCCAGAGGTTGTTTCGGGGTTCTATCTGTGAGTTAGCCGAGCCCTGACTTAGATCAACCCAGAGGTCGTTTCAGGGTTTGAGAAAAGTCGTTTAATTTTCCCTCATCTTTCCAGTTCTGTTTAAAAAAAAAAAAATTTGAAATTTGCCTATCGCAACGTTGAATTTAATGATTAAGAATGTGAATTCTCACGAGCAGCACCTCGTCTTACCTTTATTGTTTTTAAATTAATCGAGAATCAACAAACATATATATATATATACTGCTTACTTCTTACCTCGGTTTCTTTGATTACGAAGAACGATGACGTTTTCCCACGTTGTTTTCTTGAAATTCTGAATTGAATGAGTTCTTCCTAAATAACATTCCTTTGACAGTGCGCTCAGAAAAAATACTGTATAGCGTTCATTGCCACTTAACTGCTGGAAATAGCGCTGTACAAATATATTATTATGTTATTATCATCACAAAACTCTTCGTTTTGAAAATATTCACCTAAGGGGAAAAAAATCAATAATAAGAAGTTTGTTTACGCAGATCGCTCGTGACGCACTTGAAAAAAGGAAAATATTTGAAATAAAAATGAAATGTTTTGACCTTTTTTCTGCGGTATTTTTGTTTTTTAAGATTTTTACTCCCTTTCATTAGCGCGCCCATTGACTTCAGATCTAGAAGTTGCGTGCCAAGGTAGAAAAATAAAATAATCGAAAATCGCCCGCAAACTATTTAATATATACTCAAATTAACTTGGATTTTCCCCCATGAATTTAACGGGGGAAAAAAGACTTCGGCAACCAAAAAAATTCCACTTAAACTCGTTGTCGTTTTCTGTTTGGCACGACACTGGCATCTCTTAAACAACAGTTCAACCAGTGCAACGGTGACTACGCGAGTTTGTAGCGGCATATTTTCATGAGGAAATATGATGCTTTAGTCGCATTCTTCATCTAAAGCTCCCTTTGATTTTACGCAGACGTGTTATCGCTGTTCGATTGACTCGCGCCAGCTCCTTTTTAGGCAATCGGAAAAGTGTATGACGTCACGAAGTTTAGAACAAATGGTGTCTCAAGCTGTGACAGCCTCAAAACTATCGTGAATTTAATTTATCTGCTATTATCCAATCACTTAAACTAATTTATAATTTGTCAAATTTTCTTTATTTTTCCCTCTAGGAATAATTAAGGCAGCGCCATTTACGCCATCAAGCTCGAAAATGACAGGATGAAAAGATCGATCCTTGAAGTGATGTTTCTGGATTTAAAATTCGTATTATTGTGACAGTCTGGTTTATACATGATCAATATTAACGTAATAGGCAGTGTTTTTGTAGAAAAAGAGGAATCGACTGTTCAGAGTTATAAATATCGGCTCGCACATTCAACCCCTTGAGAATAAGCGTACGATTTTTCTCACATCGATTTTGAATTTCGTCTGATAATATTCATTCTATAAACAACGTGGAAAGATTTTCTCTTCGATAACAGAAGAGATAAACAGTTCCTAAAGCTTCTATATAAACTAATATGTAATATGAATGATTTGAAAAAGAAAAAAAATATTCAGCTTGTGAGTGCGTGGGTGTTAAAGGCACTTAGGATCTTTTTATACTAATCAGGCAGTGACGTTCCCAATCTTATCGCTTTAGGTCTTGCCATTACGACTTATGCAGGAAAAACACTTTAACTTTCAAGAGAAATGATTCTTATTCTGCAAAGCTCGTACAACATTAAGTATTGATTCTACATAACTGGGCTATGGTCGCGACAACAGCGACAGATATCTGCTAATATTGATGAAGTCAAAACATTGTTCACCTGTTTCTGCGTCGCGTAATTCTTCGTAATGAAAAAACGCGCGAAATTCTAGCAAATATTTTGTTGATCGGCTATTTTTTTGACGTAAGCGCTTTTTGAGTAGAAGAAGAAACTGGTTTAGATTGTTAATTATATGAAGAAAAATCTACTCTTGAAGAACTGAGAAGGAAAGAGAGGGAGGGCGTAAGGAAGGAAGGAAGGGAGAGGGGGAGGAAAGAAGGAGAGAGAGAAACTCATAGCGCATATCTTTGTACATAACTGAGAAGGCCGAGGTGCTTTGTAAGCAATTATCATGTTTCCTTATTCTTTACGCTATTTTATTTCGTCGAATCGTAATTATTAGTGGAAATAACAAAGCTTTTTTATGCTGCTAAAATATTAAAAACTAGACAAACATTAAAATGGCAATAAATTAGGGCGCTGTCCTCTTTATCCTCTAACATCTTAATATGCCGAGTCGTATTGTGTTATTCTTCATGAGATCATTTCTGTCATCTTTCTCATGCGAAATCATCGAATAATTAAAAACAAAAAATAAAACTGGTTCTAGAAAAAATTAGGACGATTTTTTGTGTTTAAAATTTAGATATTGATTGAGAGGCCCTGAAGATGAGGAGTGGCTTACTCGACGAACAATATATTATATCAGTTTTCTTCGCTTCTAGCCTGAATTAATATTGAAAGGTTTCCTGAAAGCAAACCGAACTCCTGAGTTTCGTTCGTTCGTGATACTCCCTGCCCAGCAATTTATTTAAAAAAATAGCAAATTGCCAGCTAGACTAACCGACGTCAAAATGCTTTTCTTCTCAGTTGTGACGAAGAATGCCCGAAAGCAAGTCAATCAGGGGCCGAGAGCCCGAAGAATTTCCGTGAGTTTTCCGAGATCTTCACGCCGGAAAATTAGATTATTACGTAGATATAACATTCACTGGTCATTCATTTTCGATCAATCTCTTCGGATTTGGTCGTATTACGTCGGAAGATTGTCGTCAGTACTTCGTCATTAGCCGAGCACTCAGCCTTGACCACCTGCTCGGAAGTAAGGAAGAAAAGACTTTGATGGTCTCTGTGTTATATAAGATAAAAAGCCAACCATGTCGAAAGCAACAAGCGTTCAAACCAACTATATTTTAAAGCATTCCCAAAGACATGGCTTTGCAAACTTTCAAAAGAAACAGCTTCTGAATCGAGCAATATCATGTCTGAAAAGTCAACTCCGAAACACGAAGCTGCCAAACGTTCGCAATCAGCTCCTGAACCAACTACAGCAACAAAAGCTGCTTTAATCAAAGCCGGACAAAAACTTGCTGCTGGTCGTGTGGACAGAGAAGAAACCAAAGTTAAACCAAAGCCATCAACGAGCCTTTTGACACCCGAGGTGTTAGTCACATACGCTTTGAATGAAGAAGAAGAAAGGCGAAGTGAGATGCAATACAGAGAAGCGGCGCTTGGTGCTTTTGGCACGAGAAAATCTTACAGTAACCTCACCATTACTTCATTCTCTGATAAAAACTCAATTTTGAGGCACTATCATTCTGATCCGTGTCTCGCAAGTCTTGGTATTCTAACATGAGTTGAGAAATATAGAAAACATGCATAGACAAACCGTTTCAAATCAACTAGTAGAGAGCTCTTGGTAGATTGTTTCACCTTACTGGAAAATACTATATATTTCCTGGCCTTATGAACATTGGTACGTATTTGTGAATGTACACTTGGTGGCGAGTGCTTTTATTTTGAAGATTTACGATGTGCTGAAGGAAAAAAACCGTTTTTTCTGTTTACGTTGGTAGAAAGAGAAGCAAAACGTTGAACTGCATTAACTGAACTTTGTCCTTGGTTGTTGGATTGCCTATTTATCTTTTGATTTTTAATACATTATTACTGATAACGCGTTTGTATAAACTGAGTTTAAGCTGTAGCAATATGACAATAATGACTACCTCATGCATAAACAATTTATTCAGCAAGTTTTTTGGACCATTGGACATCGGTTCATGCAGTGAACTCATACTGCTCACCACCTACGCACCCATCAATATTATGAAGAACTACTTTTGCTTAAAGTTACAATAATAACCCATGTAAACTAAGATAAACTGCAATCGGCTGTGAAAATTATCTGCTGAAAGTAAACGTGTAAGTTTGTTTGTCCGAATTTCGCCTTTGTCTTCGTTTTTATGACGTCACGGTTGCGCTGCGCTATTAAAGAATGCGCAACATTACAAAACCTTAGAAATTCCATTGACCTTCATTGGAACACATGGATATTCTATACTGAAGGTCGAGACTAACCGTGAGCAAAGAAGAGTTCGAAACTGGAGGCTTAAAACAGGCCCGAATGAACCTTACTTATACGGCAGCTACGTTGACGGGAACAATAGATTTTCAAACGCATAGCCTCGCATTCAAGTGCTCCAGAACAAATTTATGCAGGTTAAACAGAGGTTTTTATTCCCTCGAGAATAAAAAACATATTTTGAAGATTCTACTATTATCTTGCTAACTGCAGTGTAAAAATCGTCCTTATCACGCTTTTTGTTTTTTAATGCTAATTTTGTACTCATTTTCTTATTAAATTTTAATTTTAAAAATAACTTTGTATACATGATACTATAAAACACGCTGAAATTAAAACCTGCATATAATCTTGATATGAGTTTCGCCGTATTTTTCTTTTTTCTTTTGAATTTATATCATGTTTGCTTAAGCATTTTTGTATTTATTTTAAATTAATACCTTTTTGCCTAACGATTCGTCGATCCGTGTCTTCATGATCACGCCATGGTCTCGTACCATAGAGATCTGGGCACGAGACTGTGACCACAATGGTCGAAAGTCTTACTGCGCATGTTCAGGATATTGGCAGGGAAATGGCAGAGACGGCTCAATATCATCAAAGTCTGGAAAAAAATATGAATGTGCAAACACTTAGATGTTGGTACGATTATGAAAAGATTTAACCAAAGTTTTTTGTTACGTCGTATGTCTACCATTACAAGATCGATGGAAAAGTCTTAAACCTCCCCGCCCCCCTTCCATCCCTGACCCCCCCCYCCCCCCCCTCTGGATTTGAAAAATAATGAGGATAAAAGATAAAATAAAAACCTAAAGAGGACGCTATGTGATGCCTTTCTGGATAACAGTTACCCCTTTAAAATCGTTCTTGTTCCGCCACCATCACTTACGACTGTCATGCAACGCCGTCACGCTCTGCGATATCCAAGTCACGATCATCACCGAGTGTTCCGGACACCAGGCGGGGATCAATCCTGTTCGCTACTGCATTCAATAGTTTAGTTTGGCTTTCTATTACAGTAACGAGAGCCTTGATCTGTTGCCTGTTTTTCTCTAGTTTCAATGCGAAGTCATTTGAGGACGTGTTGGCCAGTTCTTCTTCGTGAGACAGGTCTTCTTCTGCAAGGTTTTTTAAAGTGGCGACCCAGAATGTTCCTATGTCTTGCAACCTAAAATAAATGTCATGAATGAATGGACGGCAGAACGGAAGTACGGACGGGTGGGGAGATGGATGGAGAGAAAAAGGAAATATGAATGGTTAGGTGGTTGAATGGAAAGTACGGTCTTTAATGAATGGATAGATGGATGGATGGATGGCTAAATCGATGGATGGCTAAATCGATGGACGGACGGACGGACGGACGGATAGATGGAAGGATGGATGGACGGGTGAATCGATGGACAGAGAGAGAGAGAGAGAGAGAGAGAGAGAGAGAGAGAGAGAGAGAGAGAGAGAGAGAGAGAGAGAGAGAGAGAGAGAGAGAGGGAAAAATAAACGTCTGTCACTCCTACCTCTTTCTGAAATTCTTCTCGTTTGGTTTGACAAGTATTCTTGGCTTGTAGATCATACGAGTAATGAACTTTGGATATTTGTCTTCTATTTGCGCTACAAATTTCACTTGTCTCGCCAGTCGTTTGAGTTCAGCATTTCTCCTCACCATCTCAATATCCCCTACAGCCAAACCCACCTATAGATGGGAATATTGAATATTGCTATTATATACAGGCCCTTTGAAGTACTTTACTTCTTCCTTCTTTCCAACCAGCATCGATCCCTCGGTGCCTTTCTTTTTTCTTTCTTTATTTTATGCTTTTTTTAGTAACCTCAGTCTTTCCCGCTTTTTCTTCCTTTTGGTTTTGCTTTCCTTCTTTCTTTTTTTCTTCCTTTCATTTTTCTCTAATTTCTCTTCTCCCCTTTCTTTCGATATTCTGTTTTTTCCATTTTCTTTTTTTAGGAAAGGCTTGAGGAGATATAGTCTAGGTTCATTATTTATACTATGATGAAGAAATAGAAAACGCGCGCGCGTGCTGTGTGCAGTCATAAAGCACGCGGGGGTTGGCAGAACACTAGAGAAGTGTAAGAAGAAGCACGACGCGTAGCAGAGTGCTTCCTGACACTTCTCGAGTGTTCTGTCAATCCCCAAGTGCTTTATAACTCCACACAGCACAGCAAGCAAGTTTTTAATTTCTTTTGTAAAATACAAATTACAATAACCGTTTTTTAGATAGGAATGACGCAACTGAAAGTGCGCGCACGTGCTGTGTGCTCTCATAAAGCAGGCGCTTACAACGAATCAGAAGCGAGATCAATAACAGTTATTTTATAATAAGTTATAACAGATGCATACCAAGAGATTCATTAGGGATATCGACATCGCTAACATGAACACTAAGCAAAAGACTAACGCAACTTGAGGATAAGGATTTTCTGGGCTTCCGTTTTCATTTCCACCCAAGGAATCAACAAATGTTGAAGTAAAGTCTATCTCTCCCAAGGTCATCACTGTCGTCTTGACAAAGGAACGTACGAAAGAATTGAAAGATGGCTGCAAAAGAAAAAAAGAAAAGCATGACATTAAGCAAAAGAAAATAAAAAAGGACGCACAAATTAGTAGGGCAATAAGGAGAAGTAAGAAAAGAAAGAAGGACAAGGACAAGGACAAGGACAAGGACAAGGACAAGGACAAGGACAAGGACACGTACGAGGACGAAAACAAAGTACAAGAACACATACGAGGAGGAGCCAACGAGAACAGGAAGAAAGACAAGTTTCACGACCAGGGCGTTAACTGGTCAATGAGAAAGAAGGCGGAGGAGGAGGAGAAGAAAAAGATCAAAAGAATAGTCTAATCTACTAATCACAAGTTCCACTTGAGTGAAGTTAATATCGGCTTTGTCTGTAAACAACTCTTGCAGTTAAAGACAAACAAAGCGACTGGGCTTGATGGTCTTCCATCACGATTGTTAAAAGATGGAGCTGTGTACATTAGTGCAGCTGTAACGTCTATTATAAATCTTTCCATCAGAACACAACAAATTCCTCTTGACTGGAAACATGCAAAGATTATACCGTTATTCAAGGAAG